CTTAGAAATAAAGTTAAAGCAAGAAAACAATTTATGGCTCTTATTCAGCATTACCAGATGCCTTTCATAAAGGTTTTATTAATTTAAATTCTCCCAAAGATGATGAAGAATATGTCTTTGCTCTAATGTGTGGTTATCAGTGTTAAAAAATCTTTAGAACTGATAGGTGAAAATGATATCTGGCTGTTTTATTCCATAACCACTCTATCTAGAAAAATTATCAAAGTCAGGAGATTTTTTAAAAAGGCCTCTTGAAGCATTTCCTTTGCTGAGAGAAAGTAATGAGAAAAAGAAATTCATAAATAACAAAAAGGTATGATCTTTGACAAAAATTTAATAATATACTGAAGCAGTGTTTTAAAAGCAGTTAATTGCTTTTTTAAAAATGATTTTATAAGTATTTACCAATTAATTTACTTCTTACAATGCTGAACAAATGGTTGGTCTCAGTCTCTATGAAAGAAAATGTTTCTGGGAGTTTCTTTTCACCTTTTTTGATCCTTCCACATAACTTCTTTGCTTCTGCCATAGTAATAAAGGGCCGTTAAAACTAAAATTATTGGAACAAATGAAAGACTTTGGATTATCAATTAAAAATTGATGAAGGACTTATCAAAGAAGAGATTCTGAGGGAATATTTCTTTTCTTCTCAGTATAAAAGAATTCCTTGTTTGGCCAAAATTAAATATTATAAAATGGGTATCAATTTGAGTTCTCTTTTGAACAGCTCCTTTAAACAAACTCATAACATGTAGTTCTAGTAATAGTATGTACTTCTATGAACAGTATATAATGCGTTTTAGACAGAGAATATGTAATTTTGAGGTTGCTTTTCTTAAGTTCAAAAACTGAGTTAAAGTAAATAGCTGAGTATAATTAAGGTGGTCTCACAGATAAAGATATAAGTCCAATCTGTACATATAGAATTCTAGACTTAGAATCATACAATTTAAAAATTTGGATAAAAGAATTATTTCTTACATTTTAAATAAATAATTTATTTGTTTTATTCAATGCGATTTTTTCAAGTGCAACTAACATTTCAACTGTGATTTAATGTTTGTAAAAAAATACAGACCATAACTAGCCGTTGTGGCAGGCGCCTGTAGCCCAGCTACTTGGGAGGTT